TTTGAGTCTAAGGATACATTGCTTTGAAAAAGAGGTTCTTCTTTTGTTTCCACAGAGGATGAGAATCTATAAAATCCTTCCAGACTAAAATTGTATGATGGACCAAGAACCCCCAAAAGGTCACCACAAACACCCCCCAAAATTAATTTACCCAATAAACAGCAGAAACTAGTTTGGAGAAAACTTTCCCTAATTTCCTAAATGATTGTTTATAAATGTTTGTTTACATTTAAAGGTGGATATGCTATAGAGATATGCATTGGTATGAATCTTGATTTATTGATACAAATTTAAGGTCAATTTTGTTATACTGTGTATATGTATTTCTGATCTTGATTAAAATATTGTTTGTGCAGCTCATTTAAAAATGTATAATTAAGAAATATAGGTTAATAGATAGTCATCTATAATAGTTAAGCTTGTAGTCATGTTAGTTAGGTTTTCTAGATATATAGAGATATATTTCAGTTAGATAGGTATTCTTCAAATCTTTCAGAGACCTTCATAATATGGCATTTAAAATCTTTAAATTATTAACTTAAGACTTTTCATGACAAAGAGACACATCTGCTCCTGGCAGCAAAAATCTACTTCAAGAGGATGATGGGCATTGAAGAGGCTCCTCATGGAGTTTGCTAGCCATTTGGGTAAGAAACTGCTCTTTTCTGGACTGCTTGATAGTATGCTGTGTGAACTGGACATGCAGAACCCACAAAAAAATGACTGCTAAACTTGCCTATAAAGGTGAGACAATCCTTTGGGGTTCCTGCTTCATGAAAGAGTCTGCAAGACATTCTTCAGGACTCAGAAAAAAGTAACTGACAAACTGCCAATACAGGCGAAACTGTCTTTAAAATTTCCTGCTTCATGAAAAAGTCTGCTAGATACTATGGGCCTGTAGGCTAAAGACAGATGCCCCAATGGTACAGAAAAACTTTGGGTGACTGTATAGGTAGTGAGATATCTCTGTCAATTCTAGAGTTTTGGAAGTTGCTTACAATACACTTCTAGTTTACTTAGGTAATATTATATCCTTCTGGAGTCTTTGATGGAGTTGAAGAATAGACAGATAGTTGTAGTTTTCCTTAGTTATGAAAAAGATAAAACAGATATAAATATTATTAATTGCAATTCTTGCTTGATACCTGTTTTGTTACATGTAATTTTATGTTATGGTCCAGTGCCAGCCCAGACCATAAATTATTTCTCTGGACCAGAGGGGAGGTGTGGGATTAAAGATACAACTCACACGGCTTTATTGGGAGGGAGTTTTCAGTGATCCCTCATGAAATCCTGAGTTCACATTCTGAAAATTTACTCCGTGTTTATTCTCCAAACAGCTTTTATACCAAAGTGTAAACTGAGGGGGAAATTCATTAGCATTCTGTTTCCTAGATAACCAGACGAATGTCTCTGGTCACATCCATACCTTTGACCACACATTTCTATGTTCATTTTGTCACATCTTTCTGTCTTCCTGCTCTGTATGCCAGTTCTGTCACATAGGTCGAATTAGCACCTCTTCCCAGGCAATCTCCATAATTACAAAGAAAGGAGCAGAGTGATATTAGCATATCCTGATCCTTTTAGGATGGCAACATCTGACTGACAGGCTATGTGACTACTTTCTGTGTGGCCAGGTATGGGCTGGCCTGTAAGTTTGGTCACCATACAATGTAGGGCCTGTATAATATTGCCCCACAATTTTACTACGTTAAAGTTAAAACCTTCCTTTTTATTTAAATAGAAAAGGGGAGGTGATATGGGAATCCCCTCTGTATGCTATGAATACCATTGGTTAATAAAGAAACTATCTTGGGCCTGTGCAGAGCAGAATAGAGGTAGGCAGGGAAAACTAAACTGAATGATGGGAGAAAGGAGGCAGAGTTAGGAAGAAGCCATGGAGCCCCGCCAGAGACAGACACCAGAACTTTACCTCGTAAGACACAGCCACATGACGATACACAGATTACTAGAAATGGGTTAAATTAACATATAAGAGTTAGCCAATAAGAAGCTAGAGCTAATAGGCCAAGCAGTGATGTAATTAATATAGTTTCTGTGTGATATTTTGGGAGTCTGGGCAGCCGAGAAACAAACAAGAGGCCTTTCTACAACACATGATTATCACATCCTTCCAATGAACAAAACATAAGCCTAAGGATGAGGAGGGGGACTGTCCCATAATTTCTACCTCAGTCAGATACACAGAGACAAAGGTGCCAAAAACAGACAACACACAACACCGAGGGCACACAAAAAGATTTTTCCCCAACCAGTCAACTGACAGAGTTTCAAAAACAGTAATATCTTGGGATTCTCAGGAGGGAGCAACAACCCTCCAGGCTCAATCACACTGAAAACCATTCAAATACAAGACTCTCCATCTCTTCAACATCATTACCAAATTGTACAAAAAGAACTAATTTTTTAAAACCTGAGTCAACTTATAACACAGAGGAAAGCTACAATTAGTCCCTAATCAGACCAATGAAAACAATTATAATTGTCCTCAAGTATATTTGTTAATTATATCTATGAAAAGCATTGTCGTGGAAGTAAGTCTTAATAAGGGCCCTGAGAGTCCCTGCTATAGCAGCCAGAAATTCTACCTATTTCGCCAGTGACTGTTTCTCTAATGAAGAGATAACACAAAACTTTTTATTAACTTTTTATTAACTCCATTGCTATTTTTGGAAAAATCTACTGTGTCTATTGATATAAACAGTCTCACACAAAATAGAAAAGCTTCCTCTATTTTTTAGATGGAAACCATGGCAAGCTCAGCAAGAAACAGTAAGGCCTTGCTTCAACATTACTTCAGGTACTAGAAGGCAAACTATAATTCAAACCTTCAACTGTTTCAGCTCAAGGTATCTGGCTTTTTGTTTTTGTTTTATTAGTTGGTTAGTTAGTTTGTTTGTTTTTGATATTTTGGCTTTTTTTACTTGTTTTTGATATTTTGGGGGTTTTTGTTTTTGTTTTGTTTTTGTTTTTGTGTAGTTGACCTGAACCTGCTCTGTAGATAAGGCTACCATTGAACTTGTAGTGATCCTGCTGCCTCTGCCTCCCAAGTACGGGCATTATGGGCATGTACCAACATGCCAGGCCATAACAGTTACTGAAAGCCCAATAAGGAACTGACAATTGACCAAAGTGGAATGTGGAGAAATCAATGAGTTTATTAGCGTTACCTACAGGAATGTGGAAGACTCAATGGGCAGCTGCATCACTATAGAGCTCCCTGTAAAAATTCCAGGCATGCAGTTTGGCTGGTAATTTCCATAGAAGTGGTTACTGCTTGTATAATTTTCAAAGGGCCCTGAAAATCTTGTAGGTTTGGGGGATTTCCTGAATGTTGTGAGTTGTTTATTTTCTGAGCCATGTAAGTTTTGTTTACTTGAGTCTAAGGCTCTCCTTCCAGGGTAGAATAGTTCAATTTGGACGAAATTGCTGTACAAGAATTCATTCTGTTCCTCTGGTCACTGCTTAATATAAATTTCAGGGAGAGTTAAAAGGAGGGGGAATAACTGATATGCCACGGGCTATGCAGCTAGCAAGAAAACTGGGTTTTCCTATTGTTAGTTGAGTATCTGTTCCCACACCTGCTTCCATTTGCCTGTGAGTATCTGCCCCTATCCCAACAAGCAGTTGTTGATAGTGTTTATGGAGTCATGCATTTGAATATGTCCCTAAGCTTCCGAAGGGCAGAGACTAGTTCTCATATTTCCCAATAGTTCCCAAGATTATTATGCATTTCTTCAATTCATTCCACTTATGTTTCTTAAGTAACTACTATGTCTAAGACAATGTATGTTAAGGACCAGGAAAATACAAACTAAATCACACACAGCCCAGTCTTCAGGCAACTTGTGAGTAAACAGATAAATAACCTATTGCTTACCATTGGTTATAAGGTTTGCCTTGTGTGCATTAGTTATAGAGTTTGCTATTTATTAAGCTATTTATGTGTCAGATTAATGTGTGTAATAGCTCAGATAATTCTCAAAACAACCCTGTGAAGTAGGTTCTGTCACTGTTTCTTTTTACAAATGAAAAAAAAAACTTCAAGGCACTGAATAGTGAAGTAACTCACCCAACGTTCTACAGATAGCAAAAATAAAATACCAAGACTGGAGGACTCTTTAAGTGACCTCTGGTCACTACTTCATCTTAACTATAATGGTTCACCCTACGTTTTGGAAGAAGACTAACACTGAAGAGAAATGGAACCTCTTTATTATCACAGACTTGGGACAGCACTGTTGGTAAAAAGGGAATCCTAACAGCAAGGCAATGGTGTCACTGTTTCTGTCTTCATAGTTGTATGATCCAAACAATGGAAAAAAGACAAGACAGGTGTGGCGGCACATGCCCGTAATTCTAGCTCTCAAGAAGCAGAGGGCAGGGAATTATGAATTCGAAAATAGCTTAGAATACTAATTGAGACCCTATCTAAACACAAAACAAAAGAGGGGGCTGAAGCGATGGCTGAGAGAGTTAAGTGTGCTTGCTGTTCTTGCAGGAGATCTGAGTTCTAGGACCTTAGCTCTGTTCCTAGCCTCTGTGTTAAGTGACTCACAACTGCGCCAGGGAACCCACGCCCTCTTCTGGGCTCTACAGGCACCTGCACCCATCCACACAAACCAACATAGACACATACAACACTAAAATGAGGAAGGACGAACTGCGAGTCAGACCCAGAACTACAATTCCCGGAAGGCGATGGGGCATTGTGAGGTGGCTGCTGGAACGCCGGAAGTCTTGTGTGCGCAAGCGCGGTGGTGATGAGGAGATGCGAGACCGTTGCTGTTCGCGGGTCACGCCGCGCGCCTTGGAGTAGGAGTCTGTGAGACAGGCCGGTCTTCAATTAATGCCAGCGTTCAAAACCCCTGAATCCGTACACACAGTGTACAGGACATAACTTCAGGAGATTCCGGACCGGTAGCGAAGTCACCACTACCAACTTCACGTGGAGACGGGCTTCCAGTAAGGCTTCTTAACTGCTCTCAGACATGATGAGTGTCCCTGCCTTGGAGAAGGACCGTGAGAACATTACGCATGAATTGCTTTCAAACCTCAGCCACCCCAAGAGCTCTTCAAGGAAATGGCTAGAGAACAAAGGCAGTGACAGAGTCTTTGTGATCATCCGTAGGCCTAAGCTCAATCAAGAGAACTTTCCAGGTATTCCCTGGGACTCCCTTCCAGATGAGCTGCTCCTTCGAATCTTTTCCTACCTGTGCCTCACTGGGCTAGTCAGGGTTTCCAGAGTTTGTAAAAGGTGGTACCGCCTCTCGCAAGACGGGTCTCTCTGGCAAACCCTTGACCTTGTAGGTATAAATCTGCACCCGGATGTGACTGTCCGTTTGCTTTCTCGAGGGGTGATTGCCTTCCGCTGCCCACGCTCGTTTATGGAACAACCACTGAGTGAAAGGCTCAGCTCTTTTCCTGTAAAACACATGGACCTGTCGAATTCAGTTATAAATGTGTCAAGCCTCTATGGAATTCTGTCTGAGTGCTCCAAGTTACAGAATCTAAGCCTGGAAGGCCTGCAGCTTTCGGATCCCATTGTCAACAGTCTTGCCCAGAATGAAAACTTGGTGCGACTAAACCTTTGTGGGTGCTCTGGATTTTCTGAGTCTGCCATGGTGAATCTGCTAAGCAGCTGTTGCATACTGGATGAACTGAATCTCTCCTGGTGCTTTGAGTTTACTAAACAGCATGTGAAAGCAGCTGTGGCACATTTATCAGCGACCATCACCCAGCTCAACTTCAGTGGCTACCGAAACAACTTCCAGAAAACAGATCTTCGTACCTTAATTAGACGGTGCCCCAACCTTATCCGCCTTGATTTAAGTGACAGTATCATGATAAATCAAGACTGCTTTCCAGATTTTTTTCAGCTCAACTACCTTCAACACCTCTCGCTCAGCCGGTGCTATGATATAATTCCCGAGAGTCTACTTGAACTTGGAGAAATCGCCACACTAAAAACACTACAAATTTTTGGAATCATGCCAGAAGTTAAGCTGCGGGCATTAAGAGAATCCCTTCCCCATCTGCAGATTAATTGTGCCCATTTCACCACCATTGCAAGGCCAACTATCAACAACAAGAAGAGCCCAGAGATTTGGGGTATCAAATGCCGACTGACTGTGCAAACGTGCATAGAAAGTGTTTGCCATAGGCCGATGTCATCCCTTCCTTTGGAATGAGGAACAGCAAAATCCAGTTTCTGAAGACCTTGGTTACCTTTCCTATTGGTTTTACCATAACCCTCATTGTATATATATGTTTAGAGAACCATTTGTAAGGGAGAACTATGAAGTATTGCTTTTTCAAGAATATAGAGATGTTTCCTTCAGTGCTATACCCTCAGATTCCAAGTGTTAGGTCTTTAAGTGAGCCTATAATTTCAAAATAGCTTTTTAGAGCAAAATTTGAGTCATCTCTTCCAAGTGCCTTTCAGATTAAGTCTATTTAGAATTGAGTTTTAAAAATTACTCCTGGTTCACAGTTTTCATAGCTTGTTATCTCTTTTATTATTCAGTATTTTATAAAACCTGATTTTGAAGAACAATAAGCTATATGTTTGGTGAGCTGGATGGAAAGAATCATAGGCTGCTAGTGTTTGAAGTAGCCATTAATGTACTATGTATGTTCCCACGTTGTGCCATGTCCCCAGAATCCTAAATTTGATGAGGAAATATTTTATTTGTACTTTAATAAATAGTGATGTGAGACTCCCCTCTGTATGCTGTGAATGTTTTATTACCATTGGTTAATAAAGAGCTGCTTTGGCCTATAGCAGGGCAGACTAGAGCTAGGCTGGAAAACTAAACTTAGTGCTGGGAGAAAGAAGGTGGAGTCAGGCAGATGTCATGTACCTGCCAAAGGAGAAAGATGCCAGAACCTTACCACTAGGCCACAACCTTGTGGTAATACACAGATTAGTAGAAATGGGTTAATTTAAGATGTAAGAGCAAGCTAGGAATATATTTAAACTATTGGCCAAACAGTGTGGCAATTAATTTGGGTCTGGACAGTTGGGGAAAAAAAGTGCAGTCTCAGACTACAAAATGAAGCTTGCCTGAAGATTAGAGAATAAAACACCTGCACTGATCAGCCTTACAGACAGGCAGTGGGGACACACACCTTTAATTCTAGTAGCCACATTAGTACCGCCATAAAAACTGGGCGGTAGTGATGCATGCCTTTAATCCCAGCCCTAGAGAGGAATATAAGATGGGTGGAGACAGCTCTCAGACAGTTTCATTCTGAGGATTCCTGGAGGCAGTATCACCATTTCAGACAGATGTAGAGGAAAGAGACAGTGACTGGCTATTTTGCTTTGCTTTTTAATGGTTTTTTTTTGGGGGGGGGGAGCGGTGAGAGACAGTTTCTCTGCTGCTTTGGGAGCCTGTCCTGGAAACAGCTCTTGTAGACTGGGTTGACCTCAAACTCACAGAGATCTGCCTGCCTCTGCCTCCTGAGTGCTGGGAGTGCCACCACCACCTGGCTTATTTTGCTTTTCTGAACTTCGGGTTGAACTCCAATTTCTGTCTGAGTTTTTATCAATTCTGCTACATTTAACGACCAATGTTTGGGGTATGAATTCATGAAAAAGCAGTTTTCCTGAGGCTTTTTAGTCAGAGGCATAGGATAGAGATGCACATGGGGCTCCCCCAAAAGCTACATGTAAGGCTCTAGCCCCACCTGGATAGGCTTTCTTTCCGGGTTCCCCTGAGTCTCTGAGCAAGTTTGGGATTTTTCTCTTGTACCCTTTAGGCAGCCCCAAACTCGTGTGCTTTTCCCAATCTGTGCATTTTTTCAGACAGGTGGCTCTCTCTCTCTCTCCATCATGGGTTGCAAGCTCTCCCTGAAACCCCTTCTCAGCTGGCTGCCAAACTAGATAGCTGCCTTGAAATCCAGTCAGGCTTTTACTGATCTACACAGCAGTAATTGTTGGACCCTGAAGTCCAATCACCAAGGAGTAGTTGCCCCAAGAGGTCACTTTCACACCAGAGTTGATGTAAAAGCATGAGAATTTTAATTCTGTCATGACAGGGTCACTCAGCATTCAAGCCAAGGACCCCGAATAGCTGGTAAGGCTACTTTTAAAGCAAAAAGCCATAGGAACAAGGAGGAAGGGAAACTCGGGGGTTGTTTTCCAGCTATTGGGATTGGCTTATTCAAAGGGCTATTAACAATAATTGGTCTGAGCCAGGGCTGGAAGGCGGTTGCCAGATCAGGTGAGGTAAGAGAAAACATTTGAGGGTTACTTTGACCCCTTTCCAGGGACTGAGTCAAAACATCAGGAACTGAGTCAACATCTTAAGGGTTATCTTGCCCCAATTTCAATAACTGAGTTCTATCTGGAGAACATTCACAAAGACTCAGGGAAATGGAAAGTTTCCAACATTTCAGTACGTGTGTGGGTAATTGTTAGATTCCTGGTTCCCAGGGGAGGGGGGGAAACACTAAGGCTGAGAGGCTTAAGAGTTATTTCAGAGTTCTACACAATAAGCCTCAGATCTTCATCAACATCATCTGTGGATTTGGTGAGACAATTGGGAATTCTTAAAGGGAGGAATTACTTAAAATAAAGAGTTTTTTCCCACATTAAAAATGGGGAAAACATTATAATGGACGGATTTGGGTCTCTGTATGATAATATGCTAGACAGTTTAAAAATGGAATGATTAAGGAAGAAGATATCTAATTTAGATGGGATTTATACAATGTCAATTGTAAACATTATCATTATCATGTTTGTCTTAGCACTAAAAAAGTTGGTTAATCTGAGTGCTAAGATGCAGGCCTTAGAAAACCCTAATAAAAGAGATCACAGGGATATTCAAATCAAGATAGAATAGTTTAATGAAGAGCCAAATTCAGCATTGCATTGTAAGAATTGAGAGGAACAGCCTAAGGTTTTCAGACAACCAACCTTAATATAGCCAGTAACCTTACAGGAATTGCCAAATGGTAGAGGCTCTGTTACAGCTAACTGAACTCCTATGCCATTGTTAGATTTAAAAAGATTCAAGGAGCCAGGTAGTGATGGTGCACACCTTTAATCCCAGCACTTGGGAGGAAGAGGCAGGTGGATCTCTGTGAGTTAGAAACCAGCCTGATCTACAAGAGCTAGTTCCAGGACAGGCTCCAAAGCCACACAGAGAAACCCTGTCTCAAAAAAAAAAAAAAAGATTCAAGGAAGCAATAGTCTCATATGGCATGCATGGGCAATTTGTAATAGAATTATCCCTAACAACTGGATAGATTTGGTTAAAGGTGTTTTAGCACCTGGTCCACTATTACAATGGATTACCTCATTCAGAGAAGAGGCTAAGATTATTTGTAACATGATGGGCCAGCTTGTTGGGGTTTCTGTCCTGCCCAGTACCCCACAACCGCCAACTCCCAACGAAAATCACACACAGGACTCCATAAGATTATAAAGCTGATTGGTCCATTAGGTCAGGCTACTTATTAGTTCTTATGACTTATCTTAACCCATTATTCTGATCTATGTTAGCCATATGGCTTGGTAGCTTTTTCAGCTGTCAGCTTACATCCTGCCTCTTCAGTGGTCTGCGCAGGAATGGCAGAGGAACCTCCCTGCTTCCCAGAATTCTCCTGTTCTCATTGCATCACCTCTACTTCCTGTCTGGTTTTCCCGTCTATACTGCCTGCCTGGCCAATCAGCGTTTTATTAAAATATGATTGACAGAATACAGACAATTCTCCCGCATCCATTATTGAACAACGGAGTAAAGCTAGAGATGGAGAAATCTCCCAAGATCAAATTCTTAGAGGAGACTATGCTACTATAGAAAGGCAGACTGTATATGATGACCACACCCTGAATTTATGCCACCCAGGAGCTTTGAATACTTAGGACAGAATTGCAGAAATAGGAAAGAAAATTGAGTCATTTACTAAAGTTATGCAGAACCCCAGGAAAGCTTTTATGGGATTCTTAAAGATTGATTCAGCAGTAAATATAATGATACAAAATTCAGAAGCTAGAAAATAATAATTGAATCTCTGACTTTTGAAAATGCTAATTCTCTATGCAAAATGATAATTAGATCATTAAAGGCAAGGTCAGCACCTTTAGAGGAACAGATCCAAGACACAATTAGTATTTAATCTCATGAAGAACATGATGAAGAATAGTTAGAAGAGGTGATTTCCAGAGGTTTGAGGGAAAATTGAAATGTCAAATGTTATAATTGTTGCAAAAAGGTCAACTTAAAAGAGATTATAGACAGGGCATTCCTAGAAACAATGTTTTTTCTAAGTATAATCCATTCAAGATGTCCCTCCCTTCTAGATTATGCAGAAGATGTGGCAAAGGAAGGCATGGAACTAAGATCAACAAGAGATATTCAAGGTATTCCTTTGCCATCAAGAAACTCCACAAGGGGCCTCTAAGAGGCCCCTATGCCAAATCCAGTTCAGTCGTTTCCTGTCATTGTAAAAGAAAGACCTTCCCAGGGTAATTAAAGAACCTAATGCTTATTGTAAGAAACCATACTGCTCTGGATATTAGAAGAGTTATAGAATGGAGAAAAAATTAAGGACAAACCAAAAAGTGAGTATTTGGGCAAACTTCTATAAATGAACAAAGACCACAATTAAAAATATGAATAAATGACATTGTCATTGAAGGTCTGGTAGACACAAGTGTAGATGTAACAATAATTTCATCCAAATCTTGGCATCCAAATTAGCCTCTTCAGGATTCTTCAGGATGTAAATGTTCAGTGTTTAGGGATTAGAACTTTATCTCAGTTAAAGCAGAGTGCAAGATGGGTTGAATGTATAGGGCCAGAAGGACAGAGAGGAAAAGTAAAGCCATATGTGGCTAATATAGCAATGAATTTGTGGGTATGTGCTTTGTTACAGCAATGGAATACTCAGATTAACATTTCCCCCAAACTTAGAAATCAACCATAGATTAACATATGTTTCTGGGGAAAATATTAGAAGATTTTATAAAGAACAGTCACTGAATATTCAGGTTGTGCAATAACAAGGCACAACAGCTGCTGATATTTCAAAGACACCAACAACCCTACCTTTAAAATTATTGACAAGCTCGACAATCTGGTCACCCGGCAGAGGCGACTCCTCCCTGCGGAGCTCTCCCGAATCCCATCCCAGCCTTTATCCAGGTACACCTTCCTCTCTTCCCCCCCTCCCCTCTGGAGCCACAAGATCTCCCCAGAGCTGCTCCCTTGCACGCTGGGCCTGGGCTGTGGACTCAGTCCGGCAGGGGCAGCTCCGGTGCTTTGAGAGCCTGCCTGAGGACAGGCAAGCCCTGTTTCAGCTCAATCACATTCCTGGCCAGCAAGAGAGAGTGAACTTCTAGCAGACTTCCATTGGAGGAGGGGTGAGTTTTCTCCTGGCCTGATGGCTTTGGCTAGGAGGAATTCAGACTTTCCCCGCCCCCCTCGACAATCTGGTCACCAGGCAG